GTGGCCGCGTCGTCTGCGTGTCAGTGACACGGTGCCGCGGGCTCTGTCTGCCCAGAAGCCACTCGAGAAGCTGCAAAGTGACTTTGTCACCCTGTGGCTGCGGTTCCGCCGAGGGCAGCCCAGCGGGGTCGGTTCAGAGGGTGCCCTTCCCGGGCGGGGAGTGGTGTTGCGAGCTTCTCTAGGAGCAAAGGCCTGAGCTGTACCGGAGCCTCCCCATAGGTTTAGTGGAATTGGCGCCGTGCTGGGCGCTGGCAGGAGCTTCGCTCTGCCCCTCGCGCCGGCTGGCTCGGCCTTTCTGCCCACCTCAACGCTCTCCTTCTTTGCAGTGTTAAAGAAACGCCTCGTGAAGCTTGTTGTCAACTTTCTCTTCTACTTCCGGACAGACGAAGCAGAGGTATGGAATCTGCTTTGTTGTCGTTGGTTGTTTTCCTCCCTCCCTCTCTCTTCTTTTTCTGTGAATTGATCGCGTGGGCTTTGTTAAATGGTACGGTAACAGGCTGCCAGAGCCAGGACAGAGCATCCACGTTTCCTCCTACATCTACTCGGCAAAAACTCCTGGGGGTGAGGAGCAGCACTGCCATCTAACCACAGCCAGGCGCTTCTCCCAGGAGCTTGGAACAAATCTTTTAAACATAACCGTTACCCCAAAACTGCAGAAGGTGGCATCTGTAACATTTGTTTGTAGGACTGTGCCTTATTGTGCCAAACTGTGAGGGGAAGCTAATATTTCACTCTCCCGGGAAAAGAATTAGCGTTGTTTCTTCTTTTTTATGCCAGGAATTTTATTTGTGGACAATGCTCACTGTTACTGGGAAACTTTTGTGGCCACACCCTGTCAACATTGTTACTTTGGGTGTGCAGAAGCCCTACTTAGGTCTAGGAAAAAAAGAAATGAGGGATGGGACTTTTGGGTTCTGTTTCTGGCTTTGCCACTGCTGAGATCTGGTGATTTTTAATTAATCCCTTGATAACTATTCCTGAAGATTCTCTTCTTGGAAAATGAATATAAAAGCAATCTTAATAACGTGTGTGAAGAATGGTGCTGTTTGTGCGCTGGTGCTACAAGCAACGGAACAGGAAAGCTTTTAGTGGCATTTTTAGACACAATCCATCATAAATATTTCACCCTGATAACGGCCGAGCTCCTGTTTTCAGAAATACCCTTTTCTCCTTTCTGCCGAAGCGCAGTCGCTAACGGCCGCTTCGCTGGTGCCGCGGTCGCAGCTCTCCGGGCAGGGCTGAGGTGCTGAGCTCTGGCACGTGTCTGGGCAAAGACTCGGCTGTGGCTCCTGCGCTGGCGCAGGACAGGGCTCTGAGGACACAGCCTGTCTCCTTCGCCGCACCCCAGGCTGCTCAGCGCTCTTCTGGTGGCTATTTGTAAGCGCTCGTGTGTGTTCTGGTGGAGGGGAGAGGGTGTTCTTGAATGGATCAAAAATAGTTCA